CTCAAAAAATACTTCCTACACATTCTTAAAAAGCTATTTGAGGATATAGTCCAGGAAAGTGAGATATTCCGAGAAAGAAAACATGAGTTCCAGGAAGGACTAAAACCTTGGAGAGAAGCAAAAGCAAGGTCTGAGACAAGAGCTATATGTACCAGGCTTAGCGCGTGAACAGTGAACAGTCCAGGTTAGAGTGGGTCAGAGGCAGTTTGGGACAAAATAGAATTAACAGATTATCTGTTGTGTTTTGAGTGATTGGAAAAACATCACTGGGCATTTGACAGAACTGTTGAAGTACTTTGGGAAAAATAAAAAAGCAATAGTGACGTGGAGAACCAGGCAAATGAAAAAATGGTGGTGATTCTTAACTCTAGGGATAAAGAAAAAGTTGAACAAGAAAGGAAAAGTTATCATAGTGACATTATTTGGCTTAGTAGTGAACAATTTTTACAGATTTGTAAGACTGCAAGACTATAGATTTAAACTTGTGGGGCCGGCCGAGTGGCTCAGTTGGTTAAGAGCTCGCTTAAGAGTGCGAGCTTTGAGCAACAGGGTCGCCGGTTTGATTCCTGGCCCAAGCTGAGCTGCAAACAGGTGGCAGGATGGCTCAGCTAGAAAAAAAAAAAAGAAAATAAACTTGTATTAATGTGTTCCATTGCTGCATCACAAGTGACCACAAATTTGGTGGCTTATAACAACATTCATTTATTATCTTATAACTCTGTAAGTCAGAAGTCTGGGCGGGCTTGACTGGGTTCTCTGCTTAGTCTCACAAAGCTGAAAATGTTGGCTAGGCTGGGGTCTTACATGGAGGTTCTAAAGAAGAGTTCGTTTTCAGGTTCATTCAATTTGTTGGCAGAATTCTTGTGGTTATAGGACTGAGGTCTTGCTGGCTGTCAGCCAGGCTACTCCCAGCTCCTACATGCCACCCACATTCCTTGGCATGTGGCCCCCTTGATCTTCAAAGCCAGCAATGATGTGTCAAATCCTGCTCATGCTTCTCATCTCTGAATTCCTCTTTTGCCACCAGCTGGAGAAAACACTCTGCTTTTAAAAGGCTTGTGTGATTAAATTAGGCCCACCCGGATAATTTCTCTTTCTTTAAATAAAGTAACACTCACCAGAGTGCATCATATTCAGAGTTTCCACCCATTCAGAGGGGAGGGGATTACACAAGGATAAGGTTCACTGAGGGCCATTCTTAGAATTTTGCCTACCGCAAACCTAAAACTGATATAACTATACTGGAAAAACTAGGCTGGGAGTGTGGAAGTGCAGGGTATGGTAAAAGAAAGCTAAATTTTCAACTGTCGTAAAAGGAAGGCAGTATATAATAACTAAAAGTGGATAAATCAATACATGTATGTAAACATTTTCTTTAGAAGTACAAAGGTGAGAGTATCAAGAGAAATAACTAAAACAGTTGAAAATGATTGTCTTTGGAGAGTGGAGGTGAGAGGACTGGGGCAGGACACTTATTTTTCATTATAAGCCTTTTGGGCACTGTCCTTTACATTTAATATCAGTTTGAAAAAGAAGTAAAAAGATAACTTTTAAATATTTCTATTGTTTAGACATGAGGGAGATAACTAAAATATTTGAGAAAAATCATACAAAAATTTGCTTATTTAATGCATCGAGGGGGAACAAATCACCAGTAGACACATTTTCAAAGAAACAGAATTGGCACACTCGTATATAAAAAAACTGGTGAATATATAGTTATACGTGTATATATTAAGTGAAACTAAAATATTGGGTTGTCGGAAAAGTCATGACACATTTTTACAATGAAAAACATAGAAAAAAATACATCATGACTTTTGACAACCTAATATATAAGGTATATAATCTTTTCTTAATTCCCCAATTTACAATTTAGTCTTCCTTTAAATTAACTAAGCAACTCTTTGTCTGATAAGAGAGATTCTACTATGATTACATTCAACTTTCATTATATTAATATAGTACTTACTAATTGATCCAAACTTGCTAGCCTGATGTCTAGTGGCAGGTTTATACCACGGATCCCCAGTTGGGTAGGAGTTTGTGGGTATTGATTAGGTGAGCCACACTCCAGGGTCTGATGGCCAAATTTACTTCAAAATGCCTCCCGGAATGATGGGATCAGTGGCAATTAGTAGCCTTGTTAAATGATAATTTCACTAAATTCTTGTCCCAGAAATGAAACTTCCTAGTTTTATTTGGAGAAATAAGATATGGTTGAACTCCTGGCATTGAGTTTTAACCAATAACTCCAGCAAAGTTTGAGTTTTAAGCAGAGAAAAATAAATCCTGTTGTTTTGATATCTGCATATAGTAGTTGGACCACAGAGTGATGATTCTGTAATGCATGTGCCTATGTGTGTATGAGAGAGAGAAAAAAAAAAAGATCAGAAGGCACCCACCCAGTTACTCTTTCCTGTGCTTGCAGAACACTACTGTGAAGTTGTAGAATGTTGTAACTCTCTTGGGAAGCTGCCCAGGGGTTACGGGAGAAGGTTACAAGGTGTCGACTCCATAAAGGAGTCCCTTAGTCAACAATTCTAGCCATTAGCTGAGCAAAACGTTACCATTCAGCACCAGTGAATGGTGGGTGCCTGGCAATCTTGAAAACCATCTATCGGGGAACAGTGAATTCAATAACTCTGTGTAAAGCCCACCCGACATTCGAACTTCAGGGTTTAGAGGTTAATAGATTTTCCTAGAAAGGCAATCATTTGTATAGTTGCCTGTTCACAGCAGAAGACCTGTGTCATTTGTCCCCATAAATAACTGTTTAAAAATGAGCACAGGCGTAATAAGTGTTTGACAATTTGGAATCAAATTCTGGCTCTATCACTGTGACTTTGGATAAATAAGTTCACCTCTTTGAGCCTGTTTCCTGATTGGTAAAAAGGGACAATAATACCTACCTCACAGGAATGTTGAGAGGATTAAATGGAATCATGCATGCATGTAAGAGTACTCAGCACAATGCCTTGAATATAGTACATACTAAATAAATAGTTACTATTATGTGCTTGAGCCAACAAAATTAGGGATTAATTAGAATTTAGCTCTGTCCAAATCCTGAGAGGGTGTAAAATTGAAAGGGGTGGGGGAAGCAAGCAGGGCGTTAGGGGTGGCAAATTTGATGTTCGGTCTTTTCTCTGACCTTATCATTTTAGGCCAACAGTTTGGACAAGCCTCTGATAGTCTGTCACTGGAATGAAAAAACTTGGGTAAGCAGATGATATAAGGTACTTCCCTGTCATCCCACAGAGGACTCCAGTTTTTATAAAGCGAAATCTTTCCTTTTACCTAGCGTACAAAGAAATTCATCAGAAATGAGACCCAGGCCTCTTTGGATGGTACCAAATTTTATCCACCAGTGTTTAAGTGGCTAACTGGGTAGGAAAATCCCAGGCTTGATGCTTACTTAGTTCTCTTATGGTGAGAAATCCCATTTAGTAGGGGTAGGCAGGGTTGGAGCAGCCAGGAGACATCTGGCCTGGATGGAACAAGAGAATTTTGTGGGTTAGGCCAAGTGTGTTTCTCTGAGAGAGGGTGAAGAGTTCCTTATTTGGAGACAACAGCAGCCCCATGGCATAACGCTGGAACCCAGATGAGTGAGGGCAAGCGGAAGGGCTGGTGTAGGTTATGAAGGGATTCCTAGAGTCCATCAGTTGGACTCTTTGTACAAGTCTTACTTGGAAGCTGGATGTGTAACACAGAGCTTCGTTGATGGAATTAGAAAGACAGAGTGCCCAATGGAGGCCTATACAAGATCAGTCTTTCACAATCTTAGCTTTGTGCTGTATACTTTCCCAGTAACCCCCATCTCTCACCCCGATACATCTTTGCTTTAGTATCTGTCTATACTTAATTTCCTTCACATGTGTTCTCCATTTTGCCCAGAATACCCTTTCTCCTCCATTTCTGTGCTTCCAAAGAATTCTTTTTTTTTTTTTTAAGCTGAGCCATCCTGCCACCTGTTGGCAGCTCAGTGGCAGCTCAGCTTGGGTAGGGAATTGAACCACTGTTGCTCAGAGCTCTCTCTTGAGCGAGCTCCTACCCAACCGAGCCACTAGGCCGGCCAAACAATTCATTTTTTAAGACCTTAATCAATTGTCACATATGCTACAAAGCCTCCCCCAACTTCTTGTTTTGGTTAGTCATTCAATATCGTTTATTTATTCATTCACCCTACAACTATTTATGAAACTTGTATTATGTATGAGGTACTACTAGGCATTGTGGATATAATACAGATCTGATAATTACACACTGCCAACTAAAAATCCTTCAATGGCTCCCTATCAAGTTAAAATGCTTATTAGTATGCCTAACAGCATCTTCAATTACTTGGCCCCTGCCTAGTACAAGTATTCAAGGGCTGCTTTTCAGCACCTATCTACTTTACCATGTATTTGTACTCAGGGAATTGGGAAGTTCACTTAATATGGCTCGCTCTCAAGTTTCTATTCCTTTGTCTGTGCCATATTACTTTCTCGTCTACTTGGTGAACTCCAATTATCCTTTAACACTCAATTCTGGAAGCATTTCATGTGTGAGGTCTTCTCTAAAGGATCCCCCTATTCTCCTTTCAAATCTGATAGTAGGTATTTCCTCTTTTGTGGTTCTATAGCATTACATATTTAATCATATACTATATTCCAAATTTTTTGTTTGCATACTTATCTTCAGCATATAGCCACTTTATGGCAGAGGCCTTATCCTATCCATTTTTGTAACCAGGTCATCAACAGAAAGCCTGGCACATAGTTGTTGCTTAATAAATGCTGGTTAAGTGAGCAAATGAATATTTATTTGATTGAACAAGCTGGGTATCTTAGTAAGGATATTAAATGACTGGAGAGGGAACCTGAACGGATACTCTGCCTACTCCATACTTTTAGCTAGTGTAATTGTTAATCGTGGGGTATAAATCTCTAACCCAAGGTAGAAAATAAATGGCTAAGAAGTGGCCCTTCTAACCCTCGACTCTATATTCCCCTTACTTGTTTCTTCAGTTGTGTTCCTTTTCTTGTGCTGAAAGAAATTTTGATATCCCAATAGATATAGGCTGAAGGAGGCCATCTCAGCTCCTTCCCTGTCTGCTCTTGGAATGTCCAAGCTGGAACACTGGACTCTGAGTTTGTTACCATGGTGATGTTCTGAAGAATTACTATGACTGACACTTCCTTTGTCTCACAGAATTTATGGGTTCATGGAGTGAGAGTGGGCTAGTCAGGAAAATGGAGGAATCAAGTGCCAGTTACCCTTTTTCTTGCCCCAGTCTTGTATACTCTGTTTCAGGAGGCAGTGAGTGGAAAGAACATTGATCTGGGCTCAAATCTTAGTTTTGCCATAGTCTAGGTGCCCGACTGCATACAATGAGCCTCAGTTTTTTATTTAAAAAGGTGGCAATGGTATCTACTGGTATTTCATAGTTATGAGAATTAAATGAGGTAATGTGTGCAAATTTCTTCAGCAGTGTTCAGCATATAATGGAACCTTAGCAAACAGTATTTAAATCTTAATATGGTACTTTCACTGAGTCTTTTAAGTTATTTCAAGCAGTTGTGGGCTGAGCAAGTTCATATTTACTTTCGAGAGCCACTTGCTAAACTTTTTCAGCAGTTTGGTGAGCTGGATGTTCAACAAGCCATTACTGAAAATTAAATTATCTAAAATTACAATTAAATAAATTATATTAAAAATAAAGGTAATAAATACTAAAACCTTTTCTCTTCCTAATTATTTTACTACATTTTACTACTATCCATACTCATGAGGTTATTTACATCTTTTGTATCTGGATAGTCTGTTTATTCATTCTATTTTTCTCTTTGCTTTTCAGTTTGGGAAGTTTCTAGTGGTCTATTTTTAAACTCACTGATGCTTTCCTTGGTTATGTCCAGTTTACTGGTAAGCCCATCAAAGGCATTCTTCATTTCTGTTAGTTTTTTATTTCTAGCATTTCCTTTTGATTCTTAGTTTTCATCTCTCTGCTTACATTACTCATCTGTTCTTGCATGTTGTGCACTTTTCCCATTAGAGTCCTTAGCATATTAATCATGGTTATTTTAAATTCCCAGTTTGATAATTCCAAAATTTCTGCCACATCTGAGTCTGGTTCTGATGTTTGCTTTGTCTCTCTAGATCAGCAGTTCTCAACCTTCCTAATGCCGCGACCCCTTAATACAGTTCCTCATGTTGTGGTGACCCCCAACCATAAAATTATTTT